GAAAGTAGCAGCTCATTTTCGTAAGTGCTTGGCCTCCAAGTCTTTCTCCAATGTGAATACTATAAAACTTCACTCAATCAAATGCAGGCTGGGTCACCATCAAATCTGTAAAATCCCAATATCCAAATGCCACATCATTGATTAGAGCATAATCAATGGTTATTATTTATTTTTTGGGGGGAAATTTTTCGCAATTTCTTTTTGTTTTTTTTTTTGATTATCGAGATTTTTTAATTTTATTAGACTATATTTTAGATCTCATGAATTCGCTCTTTAGACTCATGAGGAAATAAATCAAGTCAATTTAATTTCAAGACTCAACATTAAATTGTACACTTTTGCGCACAAGCAATCCAATCGAAACTTAAAACTCAATGTTTGTATGTTTGTGGGGGAATCAAAACTCCACTATGTTACTAGAAGTAAGTCTTAAGTGAAATTTCTCATCCACTAAACTAATTCCCTAAAGTCAAATTTAGAATGATCACTAATCAGTCACCACTCTGACTCACTTTATACGTACTCACTGGACATCCTGTCTGCATTCAAATCACTTTTACTCGAGTAAACATATTTTTGATAATAAAAATTCAAAATTTATTTATTTTGCATCGGTTGTCTTATCATGATGAATTATTAATATTATTAATCTTATACATATATATCACATGAAAAAAATAATAATATCATATGATATTGATGTCATTAAAAAGTGTATATCCTTTTTAAAAACTTTTCGTATTTTATTTTAAGACAATGGTATAATTACTGATCTTTATGGTTACATTCACTTCAATTATATATTATTCATTTTTTTTCAGTTTTCTTGCTCAATCATTTCTTCCATTTTCATTCTCAGTTTTCGATTTATTAATTTTTAAATGTATAATTATATGCAGTAATTTCTATTTCCTTTTCCTCTCCATATATGTTATATTTTACTAAATTATAACACTTACTATACACTATAATTTATTAACCACGGTAAAGTATGTTGAGCATCAGCCGAGTCCAGTCCACGTACTTATCATCAATTGGTTGATGATAACCAAATAATGAAGAACTTGATGAGTAAGCGCATTTGATTTACAACAGTCACAAATGGACCCACATAGAAATAAATATAGTACAGTGTTGAGATCCAACATTAAAAAGAGTATTTAACAAAACTAAAAATAAATAAATAAATAAAGACTGTAGTGTATAATATATGGTCATAGTTTATTAACTTAATTTGCAAATATAACTTTATTTAATTCCTATTCCCATGAATTCCGCCTATATTTAAACTCTGAGAGTCAATGGCTTCAACTCACACCTCTCCATAGCTTGAAGCAAAGCTTCCGCTTTCTCTGCCTTCAAACCCATCAAATTCTGGAGATTTGCAGAAAACCCAGAAAAAGAAGAAGAGATTTACAGAAACCCAGAAAAAGAAGAAGAGATTCTGGAGATTATTTACAGTAGACAATCAAGAAGATCGGAGCCATGAGAAGCAGCAACCATTTGATAGGTCTGATGAACTTCTTGACATTCCTGGCATCAATCCCTATTCTGGGGGGAGGGATATGGCTGAGCAGCAGAGCCAACAGCACAGATTGCATGAAGTTCCTTCAATGGCCGCTCATAGTGATAGGGGTGGCAATCATGGTGGTTTCTCTCGCCGGTTTCGCCGGGGCTTGTTACAGAAACACTTTCCTCATGTACCTTTACCTCTGGGCCATGTTCTTCATCATTGCTATCCTTATTGGCTTCATCATCTTTGCTTATGCCGTCACTGATAAGGGCTCGGGTCGACCCGTTCTCAACCGGGCCTATTCCGAGTATTACCTTCAAGACTATACTGGGTGGCTGGAGGAGAGGGTCACAACTCAGAGCTATTGGTCAAAGATCAGTTCTTGTGTTAGGGATTCTCATGTTTGTGGGAAGATGCGAAGGTCTGTTAATGGAATCCCTGAGACTGCTGACATGTTTAACCTCAGAAAACTCAGTCCTATTGAGGTATGATAACCCCCCCCACCCCCCACCCCCACTTCTTCCATTTCTACTGTTTTTAGTAGGGTAAAACTAGTTGCTTGTTCACTTCTGGGCAACAAAGTTTCCCAGTTTGTTCTTCTCTAAATCACCGTGATTTACACATTCAGTGTTTTGTTTGTTGCCCAGTTTGTTCTTCTCTGAATCACCGTGATTTACACATTCAGTGTTTTGTTTATTACCCAGTTTGTTTTTCTCTGAATCACCGTGATTTACACATTCAGTATTTTGTCAGACCAGGTTATGGAGTCCTGGACAAGAAAATTTTGATTTTTGTGGGCAAGTTTTGCAGTTTATATATTCATGTTAATCTTGAAAAGGATGAAGTTTGATGATTTCTATGTTGTGATATGATTGTTATTTGGACAAAAACCTGAAATATGATTTAAGGAAATGTGGGTAGTGTGCAGTAGATCTGTTTTTGCGGCTTAACCATCGATGATTAGTAATAAATTATTGATTATGCATGCTTGATGTGGTATGGGTTGGAGTGGGCCTTTCCTTCACAAGAAAGTCTTGCTTTAAAAATTTAAAAATGGAATATTATCTTTTATTGGAAATAATTTTAACCAAAAAATAGTGATAAAGTTTGCAACTTTGATCTTTCTTCCATGATTGTGGATATCTTCATGTGTTGGAACTGAATGATTCAATGATATTCCTATCTTTAGGAACATTCTCCAGGCACTAGGGAAAAATTGAAAAAGGAGTTAAAAAAAAAAAAAAAAAAAGTTTTCCTGGTCATTAGGTCATCCTTTTGATCTTTATCTAATAAGGGGACATGTCACCAACTATCTAAATGTCACTTAATGCTGCAAATGATGTTGTGTGCCGGTGTCGTGATCTTTAAAGTAGGCACTAATTTCATAAAGCAATATATTTTTTACCTTGACAACTCAAAAGGATATTTTTACTCTTTGTTTTGGGCCTTTGGCTTAGCTTTTCATTACTTACTCTGGTTTCTTTGCCTTTATTTAATCTTTGTTTTTTTTTTTTTTTTTTTTTTTCGAAAGAATGCTTTAATCTTTGTTGAAATATAAATTCCTGTCAATTTCTTGGGAGCTTTTGGTTTTGATCTTACAAAATTTTTCTTTCTTCAAACTATCAAGATTCTTTTCATTTTCTTGTTTCCTGCCCTTATGACATTTGTTGTGAGACAACCCAACCAAGTTGGCCGGACTGATGACTTAGTAACCACAAAGATCCAAGTTTGACGCCCATTAGGAGCGGTTTATTAGCCTTCTTGTTTTGAGCAGGTCATCTATGAGCAATTTAAACTGGTTTACCTCATTATGATCCTTTGTAAACTAGAGTTACAAGATGAGATTTACCCAGTGCACACATTCGGGTAGGGATAACAGTTCGTTGTCACCAAAATAAAAAAAAAAAAAAAAGGAAATACATGCATATAAGATAGACTTGATTTCTGATAAGTGATGGGCACAAACATTCACCATACTGCTACCTTACTTGTTCTGACACGATTGGATCTCTCTTTCTAACTATAGAGCTTTAATAACCCTGTTATGTACAGCATGCTATTATATTCATTTCAATACATCAATGTTCGGCAGATGGATCCTTTTGAATATTGACCATGTATGAACATTAATTATTCAGTTCTGAAAACATTATTGTCACAATTATTGGTAAGCTGTCAGTGTCTGAGTCGTGACAAATTATGGTTAGGTAACGTTTTCTTGTAATGGTTCGTTCCTTCAATGTGTTAGCTAGAACTCTCTAGTTCGGGTTTTCCTTGCATCACTGCACCCTAGTATTGCTCGGTTCTATATCACGAGTATACCAGTTTTCAGGCAGGACACAGACTTATATACACAGTAAAAAATAAGACAGATAATCAGGTAGGTCTAATTGGTTTGGGAGAAAAGGGTTTTTCCATTACAGTCTAGCTTTTCGTTCAAATAGATTCATCGTGGTTTCAGGAAAAGAAGACAAGCTTTTACTAGTTTGGTGATGATATGAAATATGAATGTCTACAATGGGTTGTGAAAAGATAGGACAATTCCTAATATAGCCATAAGCTCCAACATTGGGGTCCCCACTTATTGACAGAAGATGCAAATCATGTTTTTCCAATGATCTGTATAGAAATTTTCAAATTTATGGGAGCAAATAAAAAATATCTGTTGCAACTAACATTTACTTTTTCAAGATAGCAAGATGGGTGAATATAGAAGCAAAGTATTATAGAATTTTTTTACTTACAACTTACAAGGCCCTTTAACTTGTGTGGTGTAGTCGGGATGCTGCAAGCCACCCACAGCATGTGGCTATATTTATGGGAACGAGACATACTGGACCCCTGGAACGGGACTCGTTGGAGCTGACCCAGATTGCGTTAGATGGAGCAATGATCAAGAGCAACTCTGCTACAACTGCGACTCTTGCAAAGCCGGTGTACTAGCCAGCCTGAAAAAGAGCTGGAGGAAGGTTTCTGTGATCAATATCGTCATATTAATCTTCCTAGTGATCATGTACGTGGTAGCCTGTGCGGCGTTCAGGCACAACAAACGTATGGACAATGACGAACCTTATGGTGAAACCAGGATGGAGAAGGCACAACCTAGCAGGATACATTTTTAGGAGACTGAAAACAAGACAGCAAAGTTCTAAAATGCAGTTTTTATGGCTTGATTACCTTAGGTTTCTCAGAAAGTTATGCCTTTTCTCTTGACCATACCAACTACAAATCACTAAATCTTGTATGGTGTCATTGGTGTGTGTGTGTGTTTCTTTTTCTTTTTATGTATACTAAATATCCTTGTGCTTTACTTTCATATAAAATGGATGAGTTTTCAGGAATCTTTCTTTTTGCAGGAAGAGAGTGTCTTTCTAAAAGTTACACAGGTGAAGTACAACACTAGACCCCATAACCTCAGGACTTCATTCTTGATAATGAAAGAAACTAGATACATATTTACTTACACTAGAGCTTTGGCTAACTTCAATATCAAAAAGACTTGCAAATATTCAAATCAAAGAGTCCCAGAAAAATCAAACCAATGTGTATCATATTACGACAGAGAATTTCAAATAGGTAACGGATAGTTCACAGAAATTATCAGACTACATTAAGTACTAACCACTTTATCCTCGCGGCACTGTTCTGGACTCCATCTAGTAATGGTTCTCTCTTCGATGATGTAATTATCTAAGCATGATGGTGATTCTGCATCGAGATTATGTTTCTCCACATGAAGAACCAGCAATGTCTTGGCTACACTGCCACAGAGCCGAAGAGTGCAATGATAGTCAGACCAGACCCTCAAACGATCATTTCCATCGCCTCCTTCTGAGGATAAAACAAGCACAGCATATTCTGCGTGCACCAGAGCAGGATGATGGCGATAAGCTACAAAGTCCACGCCATACTGAGACCCTGACCTAACCACCCAATTCTTTGATCGGAGATGAGAATATGCTTTGCATAAACTAGGAAAGTTTTCCCTCGTGGATATCATGTACTTCCACAACTCTTCAACACTCAATTCACTCTTATTCTCATCCACAACATTGATGCATTTTAATGAATAGCACAAGTAAAATGCTTCCTCCAAACTGAATTGAAACCACTGACTATTCTTCTGAGCTGATATAACAGGCTTACCAAAACACGACCGGTTGAGAAGGTCAGTTTGTTCTGCATCAGCTTCAAGAAGTACACTTGAACCTGAGAGTAATCCTAAAGAATTGGATTTGACTAAAGAAGACTGAAGCTGTGATACTATGCTGGACATGGGGTCTGCAAGTGCTTTAGCTGCTCCCTTTCCTTTCCATCTCGGAGGTGCCATTATATTTTTCACAGAGAAAAGACTCAAGCTTTCCAAATTCAGGATGTTCTAACCTGCTCACAAGAATTGAATCTTCATAGTCCGAACTTTTATGTCGATTAATGCAAATTTTGGAATTTAACAAGACTTCAAATATTCTTTCACGAATATGATTGCATATAGTTCTTCAATTTCTCAAAAAAGGAAAAACTTTAAAAGTTACGTGCCTTCAAATTTTAAACTACTAAATGCACACGATACATACATATATGCAGACAACAGGCCCGCTAAGTATCTGTATACATACATAGATACACACGGGCCTGTTGCAAGCTACTGATACACACGGGCCTGTTGCAAGCTACTGATACACACGATACATACATATATCCACGGGCAGCCCGCCTCCCCTTTTCATTTCATTCTTGTTGTTGTACAGTATGTTAATATATATACTTATAAACAATATATACAAAACATATATGCAACAACATATACAAACAATATATATAATATATATATATACAATTATACAAACAGTAATACAGACAAGACTGCAAACTGAGAAAAAAAAAAAAAAAGAAAAAAAAAAGATAGTTGAGTTGTTGACTTACACTCAGAGTAGCTGGCAGCCAGGTAGTGCAGCAACCAGACGTCGGCAACGGGAAGTGCAGCGAGCAGAGTCGGCAATTGAGCGTCAATCAAGACCGGTCCTATCGTTTTATAGGCCCGAGGCAAGTAATAACAAAAGGCCCTATACTATATACAAAAGTTAACATAAATTTTTATAACTAAATTTTAAATTCAATATATGAGTACAAAAATACTAATGTCAACTAACTTAAAATAAAATTTAAAAATTTTCAACAATTTACAGATATAAAACTAATCAGAAAACTTCCATGTGCTTTCCTAGATGCAAAATCATCAATAACTTCTGATTAATATTATCTAACATATCATTCTCAACACACAATATTGCCAAGCCATTTAATATATGTTGTGACATTGATGATCTTAGGTAGGTTTTCAATAATTTTAATTTAATCTTTCTTGTGAATTTAAAATCATACCATTCTAATAAATTTATTCATAGCTCCTCTTTATGATTCTACTAGTTGCTCAACTTGTTTTTTTTTTTTTTTTTTTTTTTTCACTTCCAGATAAATATTTTTTAGGCAAACATTTTATAAAATAATTATGATAAAAAATAAAAAAAATAAATAAAAATAAATAAAAAAGACAACAGTAGTGTATTGCAATTAGAAATTTAGAATTCAAACACTATTAGAGTACTGCTACTGCAATTATTTCAAAAACAATTAGAAATTTAGCAAAATTTACAGAATTACAGCAACAGCTTCTCTGGTTTTGGAATTAACAAAGATTGATAAAGAAATTAACATTAACAGTAGAATACCTTGTTTAGTCTCTATAACTCTCTCTTTGGAGTTTTGGTCTTCCCTCAATTCATCGAATGCTGAATCCCAAATATCCACTAACTAGATTCCCAGCCTGTTCGTTGTCCGGTCGCTGACAAATTCGAAAATACAAGCACTGAAAACAACTATACAAGAAAGGAGAATAGGAGATTACTAATTGTGAATTCGTGATTGCAGATTACCGTAGTTTGTATAGAACCTTAAATCTCTAATTTTGTTAATTTGCGTATGAATTTCTCAAATTTAATACCTCCTTTTTTGCCGTTGAGAATGGACTGTTGCTGACTAATGTGCGGCGCAAATGGATACTGTTGAAAATCCGAACCTCCGCTCCTTGAGATGGGCTCTGGCGTCTACTGGCGTTGAAGAGACAGAGACGGGCAGATTGAAGAGACAATGGCAGTTGACTCTGTCGACTGGCGTAATGGCGTTGAGCGTTGACGATTTGCGAATAAAGGGGCGGAGTCAAGAGCTCACGGCGGGACGGCGGTGGAGTTGAGGCGTTACAGGAATAGAGGTAGAAGAATGAAGATTAGGGATGCAAATACCAATTTTTTTCCACGAATATTAGTAAAATGACAGTTTTTGTCCATATATTTTAATCCTATTTATTTTCATCCACAACAATTATTTTAGTATTAATTTTCATCCATAATTGTTATTTTAGTATCAACATTTATCACGCCGATCACTCATTCATTTAAAACATGCCGAAATCTAAAATTGTTAAGCGCATTTTCATCATTTTTAACTTAAGACCCCAATTTATGTATGAATAATGAGATATAAGCTCTAAGATTGATCGCTATTCACAGTTCACCTCCTCATACTACTTTAATTTGAGGAGGATAAATGTGAATTGAGATCGATCTTAGATCTTAAATTCTTTTATTCATGTTCAAATTGTGATATTAATTTGAAAAAAAAAAATGAAAATACACTAATTTAATATTTCAGCATATTTCAAACGGATGGGTGCCCAGTGTGATGAATTTTGATTCTAAAATAATAGTCGTTGATGAAAATTAGTACTAAAATAATAGTCGTATATGAAAATTGATAGGAATTAAACATGTAGATCAAATTTGTCATTTTGCTAATATTCGTATGATCAAAATTGGTATTTGCTCTTACAGTACGTATTCATAAGAATGAAATAACATTTTTGAAAATAGATATGTTTTAGAAATATTATTTCTATTGTTGCTGGCAAATTATGAGGTCCAAAACGCGCGTCCGGAATAACGATGTTATTAGTGGCACTGTTTTCTCATCCAATGATATTTTTTTGTGAATATAGAGTTTACAAATTATGAATATAAAGTTCAAAAATTATAAATATAGAGTTCAATAATTGTGAATATAAATTCAAAAATTGTGTTATACTGTTGAATATAGAGTTATGTAATGATGAATATAGAGTTATGAAATTGTAAATATAGAGTTATGTAATTGTGAATATTTGAGTTCTGTGATTTTGTATTTTGATATCTAAAATTGTGAATATAGAATTCAAAAATTATGAATATAAAAGAACGAATTCTAAAGATAAACGGCAAGGAAAGAATCAATTTTTTTTTTTTTAAATTCAGACACAGGTCCGTGGCATAACAATTGATTGCTGTTCCTAAAAGGTTAGGCAAATTATGTTGTGAGCACGTGCCCACCTTGTAAGGTGGGCACGATGCCATATCCATAATTTCTATACTGTAGATTCATAAAATTTATATTTTAGATTCTAATTGTTGAACTCTGTGTTCACAAATCAAAGAACTATATGTTCATAATTGATAACTATACAGTATAGAAATTATGAATTTACAGTATAGAAATTATGAATTTACAGTATAGAAATTATGAATCTACAGTACATATATTATGAATCTGCAGTATATAAATTATGAATCTACTGTATATAAATTATGAATCTATTGTATTTAAAGTATGAATCTACGGTTTAGAAATTATGAATCTAAAATATAAATTTTATGAATCAACAGTATAGAAATTATGAATCTACAGTATAAAAATTATGGATATCAAACCGTGCCCGGTGGGCACGTGCTCACAGCATAACACTCCAAAATGTTACATTCCCAACCCCAAGAGCCCTCACCACACCCCAATCCAACAGAACATCTGAGAAGATGTAAATCATACTAACTCAGCTGAACACAGAGGCTAAATAAGAAAATAAATATTCCCATGAACCGAGAGCATCTGAAAGGATTTAAATATTATTTCTCTGAATGATCTGTTCTTTAGAAAAAAAATGGGAAAAGGGTCAAATAGACCCTTTAACTTTTTATAAAAAAACAATTCGGCCCTCAAACATTAAAAACGTTCAATTACACCCTTAATCTCTTTAAAGTTGTGCAATTAGACTTATTTACATGTAATCAACAGGTTAACAGGTAAACAAATATTTTTATTTTATTTTATTTAATTTTTGCCCGCCGACGACCGTTCTGGAAAGTGACCTACGTCGCCTCTTTCCAGGCTGGAAAGAGGCGACGGCGGTTGCCTCCTCCCTGACTGGAAGAAGGAGGCAAACGTCACCTCCTTCTGGAAAGAGGCAACGACCGCCTCCTTCCAGATCGAAAGGAGGCTGGAGGTGCCAACGTTGCCTCCTTCCAGTCTGAAAGGAGGCGGCCGCCGGCGTCATCTCCTCCTTCCAGTCTGGGAGGAGGCAGCCGCCGCCGCCTCCTTCCAGACGGGAAGGAGGCGACGGAGGCCTTTTTCCAGATCCGTCGGCAACTACGTGTTCGTCGCCGACGGGCAAAAAATAAATAAAATAAAAAAAATATATAATTTTTTTTACCTGCTAACATGTTGATTACCTGTAAATAAGTTTAATTGTTCAACTTTAAAGAGTTCAAGGGTGCAATTGATCATTTTTAATGTTTGAGGGCCTAATTGCTTTTTCATCAAAAATTAAAGGGTCTATTTAATCATTTTCCCCAAAAAAAATAGCATATGGTATTAAGTAATTTTTTATTTTTAAGGAATAAATTAATTTGATAGTACCTAACTTTTTTCAAAATAATGATAATTCCTAATTTTATACAAGCCTTCATATGAACCATAGATCACCTAAAAGAATAACAAACTACAACAATACTGATACAGGCAATTGAATATGACTTCCACAATAAGCAACTTTTCAGAGCGATAATATGTGCTGCTGATCGTCAAGCCATGGATTTGAACTGTGATCTCAGGCTAATGCCCTCTCACCATCTGGAGATTCTTCTTGCGCCGCCGTCCGATTGTTGTCCACTGAACAAGGCGTTCCTAGTTTCTGTTCATTTTCCAGTAGTATCAGTCTTCATTTATGGGCAATGACTCAACTAAACATAACAAGTCTCATGAACAAATACTACATTGTAACAGAGTCAGTAGTACTAAAAAAAAAAAAAAAAAAAAAAAAAAACAAACAAACAAAACACAACAAGCCTCGGATCAATCATCTTTACCTTGTTTAAAGAGCAATCGCTTTGTTGTTCTAGCTCGTGCATCACCTCCAATGTCAACCCAATCCATTCATCAATCCAAGCAAAACAGTTCCGATGGCTTTCCAGGAAAAGCGCCCTTTCAGCCTACAGAAATTAAAGAGGAATGTCTTTCCGTCTTATTTAAAAGGCTAAACTGATAGCTGGACTACACGTTTAGTAATTAGTATAGAGAGATAGATACCGTCATTAAAGTTTGTTCAAGTTTGCGTCCAAATCCCCAGTACGGAACGTTTACTGTGACCAACTTGTAAGCAGTCATAACTGGAGAACAACTGTCCTGTAAGTGGCAGTAAACACGGTGAGACCGAACATATCTTTTAATTTGGTATCAGAGCAAAACGACGAAAGGGTATACAGACCTTCCACCCCTCCAATAGAGGGCCTCGTCCAGTTCTTGCAGACCGGAACTTGGAGAAATCAACATTGCATCTTCCAACTATGAAACTCCAATAATCACTTGCAGTAGAGGCAATATCAATGGTTTCCACCTCTCTGGCTGCGAGCTGTTCTTTGCTCAGGCCATGCACCTAAATTATCATCAACTTTTTTTGTTAGATGATTCTACAAAATCAAACAAAAGGGATATCATACCTTATAAATCCACAAGGAATTTTTTTCCTACTTTTGGTCCCACGACTATGGACCATTTCCACATCTGATCCCACAACTTTTAAATTATTGTCACATTTGATCCCTTCGACTTAATTACACGATCACCGGTGGCTTGTCTTAAAGGACAAAATCACTATTTTTCATTACTTTTTTTTTTTTCTTAAACTTCTTGGAGAGGGAACCGGAAATGATAAATCACTTGCCTAAATTTGATCACCACTGACCTGAAATTAGATCGGACGGACCAAATGTGGCAATGATTTAAAAGTCATACTACCAAATGTGAAAAAATTAATACTCCTCCATCCCATTTCATATGTGTAGTTCAGTTAACGAGACTTGACTGAATTTATTTTTAATTCAATTTTTTCATAATATTAAAATTTATATATTTAGAAACTACATTAAAAGTACTACTGTATTAAACACAAAAAATCAAATTTAAAACTAATTAAAAAAATACTAAAGAAAATAAGCAAAGAAGAAAGAATTAATTTGACCAATGAATAATAAACACTACCGATGAGATAGATGGAATAGTTGGGAACCACATGTAGAAATGGTCTCATAGTCTGTGTGACCAAAAGTGGGGAAAAAAAAAATTCTCAATCCACAAGCATGAAGCTATATTATTGATTATTCATACTCACATTTTCAGAATGCCCATTGTCAGCTTTATGAATAGTTTCAATAGTTAGACTCAACTTTGAGAAGAATGGACACTGAGCACAAAAAAAAAAAAAAAAAAAAAAAAAAAGAGGCAGATCTGAGAATCAAACATTTGACAATTTTGCTAGGAATGCCCATGAATTAGACAGAAGTGATAAACACAAGTACCTTTAGAACTGTCTCATATGCAGCAGTGAATTTCAGGCAACCAAAAGCTCATTAGTAAGAGTAAAAGAATGAAACGTAGACACTAAACTAGCTGAACATCCATCATTTTTTGAAGAATTCTCGAGTAAAAACATGAACCTGATTTACACATTGGATACGCATTCCACGCTTCTTCTTGTGTCACCAGGGCATTTGATGGTGCAAATGCAGTTAACCAAGAAGGTACTTTACTGCATAAAGTACATGAAAATGTAAACTCTAAGCTTTAAAACTAGATGCCGATGGGAAATGCAACTGGTCTATCATAACAAATTTTATATTTACCTTGTGGGTAAATTATAAACTAACAAATATAGGCTATTCCTGAGAACTCAATGATAGCCTAATACCAAGGATCATTGTAATAGCTATTCCCTTACGGAATATGCCTATTCCAGAAATCTTATTCCATTTCAGACCTATTTCGTGAAGCAAACAACAGAACAGACATATTATAATATTATTCCATTTCAGACATATTCCGAGAACCAAAATTAAATATGAATTCAACCACATTAAATGCTACAATGATACACTGAATTATTGAATATTCAACTGAAATACTGTCTCAAGTTACCTGTGAAATCGATAAATTTTTGAAGTATACTGCCCCTGACCATATTCATCATCATCAAAGGATTTGTTCTCCAGAATCTCCACACCTTCATCCCCTGTAGTGTTCTGTTGCTGCATTTTCATAACTATATACATCTGGGCTCTCTCATACTGCAACTCATAACAAAACAACAGATATTTCAAGAAAAGAGAAAAACAATGAAAATCCAATCGGTACCCAGAAAAATACTGGCTTGCAATACCTCTTCCAATGATAAAGGCAAGACAATCCGACTTCGTGAAAGGCATATTTGTCAAGGAAACAAAAAAAAAAAAGATAAACACTATTCTACTCCACACATAAAAAGGTATTTACTTTTCTTATTCCTTTCAATAAGAAGAATCGATTCCTATCAAGTCAAAAGAACAGAAAAGCAGAAAAGATGGAAACTTTTCAAGTGAAATGGATAACCCAAATACCCAAAGTCATCAGTAAAATAAGAACATAAATACAGCAATAGCTCAGTTAGTAATGAGTGGCAGATTGTGAGCAAGGGCAAGATTAGAAATTCAAGAACTTTAACTTTTTCTCTGATTCTATATTTGCAGATAACCTTAAACAAATGCATATTGGTTATACATAAAACCCACAAGATTATACATGAAAAGCCACGGAAGTAAAGTACGAGGATACAATTCCTTAATCAGAACCATTCTTTGGGATAATCCTGGAAACCAGACTGCAAAAACCTTGTATTAAATCAAATAAGGAATGAAGAAGGAGAAGAATTTAAGCTGAAGAGGGGAGAAAAGTGGAGGGCATTATAGCGAAACAATGGCTGACGGGAATTGAATTATGCAAATTAAAGCGTGGAGGAGATTTCATTGACGGCTTTCTTTCTCATAAGTTTCTCTCTTATTATATTTTCGTTGTCGTGTCGTGTTTGAAAGAAAGTTGGAAACGGTGGGAAGGAGAAATTCGCACCTTTAGTCTGCATTATATATATATATTTTTTAGAAAACGCATTTTATATGTTTATACACCGTTTTGGAATTCGGATATTCTTCCCTACTTCGCTTCCATTTTTGTAAATTTTCTATCCTAAGTTTTTGTTTTGTTTTGTTTTTCTAATTTTTGTCCCACGATTATGTGACTATTTTCATATTTGGTATTTGATTATTACGGAGTAAATTTCACATTTGATCTTACATATTTTAAATTCTTGTCACATTTGATTCATCTGATCTAAGTCACTGATGATCAAATTTCAGATAAGTAACTATCTTAAATGAAAAAATATCATATTTGATTAAAATAAGTCATTGATGGATTAAATGAATCAAATGCAACATAAAGTTAAAAGCCACTAAATCAAATATACAAAAAATTAATAATTATGAATCAAATGTAAAAATAATCTCATAATCTGGGAGCAAAAGTGTAAGAACCTTTTTTTTATCCTCCATTTTTATCTGCCTCAACCATGGTCCCCATGGATAATAAGTTAATAAGAAAAACTTTTTACCAAATTTTGTACTAAAATTTGGTACTATTGTTTAGTTAGTACTATTTTCGTTTAATGTTTTTTTTTTTAAAAATTATTTTTGTTTTATATTAAGTTCTCCTTAACTCAGCCAATACAATAAATGCTAAATGATGTGGATTTTTTTGTTTTTGTTTTTGTACATATAGTTAGCAAACTTGTATTTGTTGCAAGCTTGCTAATGGCAGATTTTGCACAACAAAAGTTGCCTCACTTGTACCTTTTTTTTTTTAATACTTACTGTTATATATATTAATTTTTTTTTGAAATGATGTGAAATTGTTTTTTTTTTTTTAATTTATTAAATTTGCATGGATGTAGTGTGAATAGTAAATAAATTGTAAATTTAGTGATGTAGAAGTAACTAGAACTACTTTGGAAGTGAGAGAGTATTGTAAGGATAATCTAGCATTATGTGTTTAATGCATTTAACTAGGTTTCACTACACTTATTTACGGAGTACAATTCAATGTTTCGTAGTATTGTTTAGATTAATATTAACATGTAAATTTTATATATTTAGAAATTATATTTAAAGTACTATTAAATACAAAATTTGTGCCAATGACCTTGTGGTATAGTAATACGAAGTGACTCTTCCAAATAAAAGATCATGAATTTAATCCCCAATTCGGATAATATTGATTCAAATACTACATTGTAAATTGTAATAGATTCCATGGATGCAATTGTCTTACAATTATGTCAATTTATTAAAGTTTATATCATCACTTGTAGTTTGACCAATAAATAATATAGAGTATACATGTAAAATGATACAAAATAAATATTTACCACTAATTTAAATGTGACTTTTTTTCCTCTCACTAAGCAATCAATCAATATATTGAAGAATATTACATATTTTATTTTGGATGTGGGGTAGGAGGCAACATAGTCCTAACCATCACAACTTTTTCAAAGGTGTTCCATGCACTAAAGGTTGTACCCGTTAAAAAGCAATCGATTTTGTGTCTTATTAGTGACCATAGATGATAGATGGTAAGTGGTAACCATATGCTAACATGCATGATGCCATGACGTAACATTTCATATATATAAAAAATTATACAATGCATAAAAGACCATACTTAAAAGTACATATTATTTTTACAAAATTAAAGTAATAATTTTATTAATTACTTTAATTTATATTTTGAGCAACGAGTGAAATTCACAATTATTATTCAATTTTGAGTGACCAATTGATCCCTCTAGTCGTCGGAGAAGGCGACCAAATGGATTGCATTCTCCGGCGACGAAGAAGGGTCGCCTTTTCCTTCATCGGAGAAAGCAACCAAATGACATTGGCGACTGTTTCGTCTGTGTTTTTATCAGAATATGGCCAAAATTTATCCGGAGGTACACCAGAACCATAAAGACATGTAATTACACGTTACCAGTAAGTCTTTGGGTCTCAATGCTCTAAAATAATATGTTCAAAAGCTTAATTTCAACATTTACAAGTTTAAGTACTTAATTGACTTATTAAGTAATGTTCATTGGCCTATTTTACTATTTACCCGAAGTGATCGGTTAAATTGTAGTCGAGACCCTTTCTTTGCATGGGGCTTTGGCGGTTAATGAAGCCCTAACATGACTCAAGGATTGTGGAGACAATAATTTTATTTTAGAATCAGACTGTTTAAATTGTTGTGCTAGTTTTAATTCATTTTCAATTCATTTGACCTTTCGTATGTAGGTTTCATTATTAAGCAATGTCGATCTATTGTTAGTGACATTGGGAACGTGTATGTTCTGTTGGAAAAATAGCATTAAAATGACATTTTAAGTGGCTATTTTGTGGTACAATTATCAGTGGGGTCCACTTCTGATTTGGGTCGGGTCAAAGTGGATTCGGGTTCTTCGTAGTGAGACGAAGAGATTGATATATCGTACGCACAAAACGGATAATGGGTGAATGAGATATTGATTCTCAAAGTAGACCCATTTGAGTTGGAAAATGAAGGGAAAAAGTGAGCTTTTGTCCCACATTGGTTTGGGAAGAGGATTTGCCCCACTATTTATACATGAGCTCTTGTTAAACTTATTGAATTGTATAGCATAGAGGCTCTCTTTCATGCGCATGGGGGGTGCAAATCAAATCCTAAAACTTCGATGTTCATTTTTTGACAAAGCCACGAAATTTGGCCAAAACTTTGCAAAGGCAGTGGCCGAATATGCACAGTATACACGAATCTGACTGACTGTTGGGATTTAATTCAGCTGTTATGTGATTAATTCTTTGAATTAATTCCAATTTTAATTTTTGAATTAACACCCATGTTAATGGTTGCCGTTACAGGAATTGCCATAATAAAGGCTATTCACTCCTCAATCCCTATATAAGAAGGGGTAGAGGGAGCAGATTTTATAAGCACATAGTGACAAGAACACACAACACAGAAAGTGGTTTCTCGCCTCAAAACTCTGCTTCTACTCCTTTCTTTGCCTAAACTGTGTTCATAGCTTTGCTCTAGTTCGCCGGGTCCGTTCGTTTGGGTGCTCAAACGTCGAACCGTAGTCTGGGAAACCTAGGCCACGGCGCTCCTAGCACTTTTGGGAGGTGGCAAATAAGGTTTTAAGGAAAGAGTGGTCTCTTGACTCACGCTAAAAACCCTTACCCAAACATGAGCCAATCTTTCCTTCTTTCGGTTTTGGATTATGCTTCTAAGCAAAAATCCTCCTTTTATGTTATAGTTTGGTTGGAATTATAATCTGGTGTATTATAAATTCCATTTGGTTGATATGCATATATCTTTTCCGTAGATACTCATGCATATAACCATGGTGGTCTGATTTATATATATATTTGTGTGTATATATATATATATATATATATATATATATATATATATATATATTTCGGATATAATATATCGAATAATATTTTATATACTTCGTGTGTGTATATATAAATATTATTTTACGATATTAAATCGATTTTGGTTCATTATCACTAACATGTTCGCTATATCAAGAAGGTCAGCGAATTAGATGGCTCATGTGTTAGCACAAGGCGATTGGTTCTATGCCTGTCCTTGGTTTGTGAGAGTTTTCTCCTCCTGTTTGTATTTCACATTTATTTGATTAATGCATTTGTTCGCTTGGTTTCAAAAAGAAAAAAAATAAGGAAAAAAAAAGGAAAATCGGTCAGTTTTTTTGCTGCAAAGGAAATTCAGTGGATCCCCAAAAGAAGCGGAGGCCGTTGCTATGCAGGTAGCCCTAAGCTGGATAAAGGAATTACATTTAGACAGGGTGCATGGGGAGACGGATTCTCTCAAGGTCGTTCAAAGTTTGAATCACAGTCAAGGGGAGTCTAATTTTAACTTAGTAATCAAGGATATCGAAAATCTACTGATTTATTTTCTCATGTATTTTTATCATTTTTAAAATGATCAGCGAATCGGATAACTCATCTGATAACTAAGCAATTCGTTTTTACGTCTGATTGTGCGGAGTGATTTTCTAACCCTCCCCTATATTTGTAATGTGTTGTCAGACCTTTATTAATCTATGGTTTATCTTTAAAAAAAAAAAAAAAAATTGGAACGTTAAACCCCCCCAAAGGCCCAAACACTGCGATTGCCTAGCTAGGTATACATTGAAGTACAGAATACAGAAAAGGAACATAATAACGTTGTTTGTTGCTTTGGCCTTTGAGCGGCGGCTCTCATCTTCTGAGTTCTGCCACTCTACTGATCTACTCCAATAATTATCAAGACAACATTTTAGCTGACCTCCAACTCAGATATTCTCTGCAATTTCCGTTTCCTTTTTATATATTCCCACAACTTTCCCCATATAGCTTCCAAGACTCGGTTTTTACCCGCCACATTCACCCCTCGAAAACCCTAGTGCTTCTTAAACCCAAAAGGGTCTTCGTACTAAACTTCATTGGAACTAGGGAGGAGACTTAGAGTGTGAGAAATGGGGTTTTGTATGAATCACTGTGAGAATGTTGTGTCCAAGCTCGTTTCTTCGTCGTCTTCGTCCTATACCCTTGCGCCTGCTAAGCCCTATTTATCCAAATCAGATGCTTTTCGGGTTTTTGCCCAGTTTAGGAAAACAAGCGCGAAGAAGAAATCATCATGCTTGAGCCTCCAATATCAGCCCGTGGTCTTGCGTTCGGGCAAAGTTTGGGCCCGAACGAGCCCGATTCGATGCCAGGGCAGTGAGGGTTCTAGTAAGCAAACGGTGGTGGGGAAGAGGACGGATATCAAAAGGATTTTGATATTAGGCGCCGGGCCTATAGTGATTGGGCAAGCCTGCGAGTTTGATTATTCAGGGACGCAGGCGTGTAAAGCGCTTAGGGAAGAAGGGTACGAGGTGATTTTGATTAACTCAAACCCTGCCACCATTATGACTGACCCAGAAATGGCGGACAGGACTTATATTGAGCCTATGACGCCCGAGCTTGTGGAGCAGG